GCTTCATCACCTCATCCCTTTTTTAAATGAGTTACCCATTTGTAAACTGTTGATTGTTTTGGGTCATTGTCCCCATAAACTTTTTGTAAAGCATCAATGATTTCACCATTCTTCCACCCAAGCTTCACCATAAATTCGATGTTTGTTCTTGCTTCAATTTTAGCAGAATACATGTTGCTCTGATAGAGGCTCTTTTCAAACCGATGTCTTATCGTTCTTAGAACCTCAAACTAGATCCTGTTCAGACATGTTATAATAAGTTAGCATGAGTGTATTTTCAGGCAAAAAAAAATTTTTGCAATCCACTCATGGTTTTTTCATAATATGCATTTTCCGTGGACTTTTTGAAGACCCCTCGTATAAAGAGAATTGTTGCTCCTTAACTTTATCTTTCAGCTGTATTCTCACTGGCCTTGCTTCAAGTAAGTCACTCCTGAGCAGGACACTGTCTGGATATTTATGAAGTATTAGACCAGACAGGGATTTGGGGACAAGGTTTCAGCCTCTTCTCCATCCCTTTCCCCCAAACGAAGCAAAGGGCAAAGAGCAGGTTTCCCTTAGGAGGGGTCTGTCTTAGGGAGAGAGCAGTGCTCAGAAAGCAGAGAGGGCTGAAGGGGTCATCTCAAGGGAGAAGGGGTCATCCCAAGGCTCAGCTCCCTGAGGAGGAGGGCCAGGGTTGGAACAGAGGGAGTAGGCAGAATATCTCAACTCTGTAAGTCTTCACTCTGCAGGACTCCAACACCAGAGTCTCGGGCCCTAGGAGGAATGCATGGCTCCCTGGACCCACCCTCTCCCACTTCCATAAGTAAGAATTGGGCTCTGAACTTAGTTACCTGTGCTCAGATCCCAGCCATGCACCTAACAGTTTTGTAACATTGTGTACCCCCTCTAAACCTCAGCTTCCTCCATCTGTCAAATGGGGACAATAATAGAAAGTAGTTCCTCTGGTGGTTATGACGATTAAATATGATGGCATGTTCCTATACAGTGCTCAGAGCGAGTATTCTATGAATGTGGGTAATCATTATTGTTTCCCTGCAGTAACAGCCGACACGCGTCCACCATGAACTGGGGGATCTTTGAGGGGCTCCTGAGCGGGGTCAACAAGTACTCCACCGCCTTCGGGCGCATCTGGCTGTCCCTGGTCTTCATCTTCCGCGTGCTGGTATACCTGGTGACGGCTGAGCGTGTGTGGAGTGACGACCACAAGGATTTTGACTGCAACACCCGCCAGCCAGGCTGCTCCAACGTCTGCTTCGATGAGTTCTTCCCCGTGTCCCACGTGCGCCTCTGGGCCCTGCAGCTCATCCTGGTCACGTGCCCCTCGCTGCTCGTGGTCATGCACGTGGCCTACCGCGAGGCTCGGGAGAAGAAGCACCTAGAGGCAGCTGGGGAAGATGCTGGGCACCTCTACCTGAACCCCGGCAAGAAACGGGGAGGGCTCTGGTGGACGTATGTCTTTAGCCTGGTGTTCAAGGCCAGCGTGGATGCCACCTTCCTCTATGTGTTCCACTCATTCTACCCCAAATACACCCTCCCTCCTGTGGTCAAGTGTCATGCGGCTCCATGTCCCAATATAGTGGACTGCTTCATCTCCAAGCCCTCAGAGAAGAACATCTTCACCCTCTTCATGGTAGTCACAGCCGCCATCTGCATCCTGCTCAACCTCGTGGAGCTGGCCTACCTGGTGGGCAAGAGGTGCTGCAAGTGCCTGGCAGCAAGGAGAGCCCACACCGCATGCTGGGGGCATCACCCAGACTGTGCCGCCTCTTCTTGCAAACATGACAACGTCCTCTCGGGCAACCTCATCCTTCTGGGCTCAGACACTCACTGTCCTCTTTTACCCGACTGCCCCCGAGACCACGTGAAGAAAACTGTCCTGTGAGAGGCTGCCTAGACTGAGCTGATAGGTTGAGCCTGGATTGGAAAGTTCCAGCATCTCTCATAGGTGTAGCCTGGAGGTCTCAAGCTGGGGGCAGTCAAGAGGGAGGATTTAGACAGCCTGAAATCAAATCCCTATTCCTCAGCTCTGGCCACCTGCCCCAGCTGTGTGGCCTTGGGCATGTTACCCCTCTGCTCTGCACCTCAGTTTCCTTTTCTGTAATATGGAGATACTGAGGGCCATCTCACAAGGTTGTTGCAAGGAGGGGTTTAATAAGAGAACAGATGTGTAAGTACCTTTAATGTGTGTGGCCCATGGTCAGGGCTTAATAAATGTGAACTCATTCACTGATTCAAGGTGCCCTTTGGTTGTTCGGCCTTTGCCATCCTTATCAGGCCACGGTGTCCATCTCTCTGCCCCTGCAAAGGGCTGCATTCTGTCCAGCCAGATGAGAGGTCATCCTCCACTCCAGAAAAGGGGTCCCCCAGCACTCCTGGGGATCACACTACTTGTTCATCCTCAAGTCGAACCTTTATCCCCAGTTGCAAGTTTAGGGCTGTGGGTTGTCTGCAAAGAGAGAGGAGCCAAGTGCGGGGGCGACGTGCTGCAGTTCATAGGCTCTGGAGTCAGAGTGCCTGCACTGAACCCAAGTTCCACTGGCTCTGGGAAAGTGACTGCAACTCATCTCCAAAATGGGTTAATAATACCTTGCCTGTGGCATTACTGTGAGGATCAATGAACTCATGGCTGTGGACAGGGTAGCCAGCTGTAAAAGGCCACATAAATGTTAATCACTGGTATTAGGAAGTGCTTGATAAATGCTTGTGGGAAGTGAGGCAGAGGGGCCCCTCCCTGGCTGCACATTACACTTCACTGTCCCAGCTGGGATGCAGGCCCACAGCCCCTCTGTAGTCCCTGCTGGTCACATCCAACTTCCCTGGGACATTCCCCAGAACCCAGAGGCCCAGGCCCCTATAGGACAGACAGCGAGGCTGTGCCTGACCCCATGCCCACTGGGGCACTTCATGCTGCAACCTGCATTCCTCGTCTCCACCAGGGCAGTGGGTGCCCTGGTCTAGAAAAGCCATAGTGACACCACCCTGACCCCCCACCCCGATCTCCTACACAGTCCAAGAGCAGCCCAAGCTCTAGGCCCCAGATTTATGCCCACCAGTGTAGGATGTGTTCCGGGGCTGAATGACGGTTGCCCCTCTCCATAGATGTGGGCTGCTGAGGAACTCAGAATTGGGCTTCCAGAGAAAAGGGCAGGAAAGAGGCCTGGGGACGGGGGGCAGGGGCAATGAGGCAACAGGACGGGAGCAAGTTCAATCACGCCGATGCTGTCCTGGGCCTGGGGTCACTTCAGTCTCACCCACATACCTGTCAGCTCAGGGAGCCCAGCCCAGCCATGCCCAGCCAGGCTGGAGAGAAGGCGTGGGCCAGGAGAGAAGAGCTGCAGGTGTTTGCTCGGAGTATGTGCCCAGGGAAGCCCGCCCGTCCGCCTGCCACCCACCCACCCAATCACTCTCGCTTGGCTCATTGGCTCAGAAAGCCCCACCCAGCATGGGAGTGAGAGACAAAAGCTGCCTCTGGGAGGCCCCGAGGCAGACAGACAAGCCCAGGGACAGGAGAGCAGCTGCTGGACCCGAGACGGGTGAGGACCAAATAGGGCAGGAGACTGGACTGGGAGGCAAGGGACCGGCTGGGCTGAGGATAGCCAGGGGATCTGGGGCTGTGGGCCGGGCTTCAGGGAGGAGCCTAGAGGGGCCAGAGGGGCCAGAGGGTCAGGGTCCCTGGAGCAACCCCTGGGAAGCTCCAAGGAAGGGAAGGACTGTCCTGCCAGACTAAAAGGAGTCCAGAGGACCAGAGAAGAGACAAGAGGAAGGATCAGGAAGAAATGAGGTTTCAATTCAGTTTTTAAAATGTCTATAGTGTGTTCTCCGGGTCAGGCCGAGTGCTGGGTCCTGGGGAGACAGGGATGAATGAGATTTACAGTCCTCCCTCCAGGTGCTGACAGTCTGGTAAGAAAGACAGGTAAATAGACCATCTGAGCACAGGTGATGCATCCTGCCGTGAAACTCAGAGGACAGTGCTCAGAAAGTGTCCCAGGGCTAGGATGTCTGAAGAGGCTGAGAGCTGAATCAGGGACAGGGGAGGGCAGGGCTTAGAGATGGAACATGATGGGAACTCCAGATAAGGGGGTGTGGAGTTTAGGGTGTACCAGCCAGGGGCCTGATGGAAATGATTGGAGACTTGCCTAGAAAACAGCCACTAAGCAGATAGGGGCGGGCTTTGGGGGGTGGTTTGAGATCCCTGACAGAAAAAATGAGGCACAGACCATGCCAGAATCCCACTTATGTTCCTTCCCAAGTCCCTTCCTGAAGCCGGAATAGTTGGAATTCCAGAGGAACCCACTGTGGTCGAGACAGTCAGCCCTGGGGCCCCAGCACCAATGCGGCAGGGTTGCGGGAATGGTGCCAAGCCACCATGGTTCCAAAGAGCTTCTGTTTAGTTTGGGAGGGAACATTGGGGCTGGGAGCCTTCCTGGAGCAAGAGAGGAGGAATAAGAATGGAGATTTTTCCGGGATCGACCAAGGGGCTGATGTGAACTTGCCCAGCACAGGGCCATGCTCATATTGGCATTTGGTAAAAGTTGACTGAATCTGACAACTGATAAAGCCATGCTCCCACCTCCTCTTACCCTGGTCCAGCCCCGGCAGCTGATGGGAGAGCAGATCCTCCAATCCACACCTTCTTACCACCTCTTTAGAAGTCATGTGGCTGCAGGGCTGACCCTTGGGGTAAAAGAGGTTGGCTGGTATAGCCATGTAGGATGATTATCTTCACACGTATCTATTACTTTGTAGAATAAGATAGACCGTGATTTAGGAACCTGAAGACCAAGGTTCAAGACCAGCTCTTCTACTCCAGCTGCAGGGCCTTGGGCAGGTGCCTCTAGGCCTTAGTTTACTCCCTGTGAAATGGGGACAATGGCAATCCCTCCCCCGCCGAGTCACTGTGAGTGAGGACATGATGACAGGCTGGTTGTGAATGGTCTTGTCAATCGCGCCATCATTAAGGGTGCCCATTTCCAGGTTCTCCCAGGCCTCGTGGCTCCCAAGGCCTGCGTAGCTGGCACCCAGGTGTAGACCCGTCCACGTGAGCTGCCGAGGACACAGCCGGCATGAACTGGGCATTTTTGCAGGGCCTCCTGAGTGGCGTGAACAAGTACTCCACGGCGCTGAGCCGCATCTGGCTGTCGGTGGTCTTCATCTTCCGCGTGCTGGTGTACGTGGTGGCAGCCGAGGAGGTGTGGGACGATGAGCAGAAGGACTTCATCTGCAACACCAAGCAGCCAGGCTGTCCCAACGTCTGCTACGATGAGTTCTTCCCCGTGTCCCACGTGCGCCTCTGGGCCCTGCAGCTCATCCTGGTCACGTGCCCCTCGCTGCTCGTGGTCATGCACGTGGCCTACCGCGAGGAACGCGAGCGCAGGCACCGCCTGAAGCACGGGCCCAACGCCCCGTCCCTGTACGACAACCCGAGCAAGAAGCGGGGTGGGCTCTGGTGGACGTACTTGCTGAGTCTCATCTTCAAGGCCGCTGTCGACTCCGGCTTCCTCTACATCTTCCACCGCCTCTACCAGGATTATGACATGCCCCGCGTGGTGGCCTGCTCCGTGTCACCCTGCCCCCACACTGTGGACTGTTACATCTCCCGCCCAACAGAGAAGAAGGTCTTCACCTACTTCATGGTGACCACAGCTGCCATCTGCATCCTGCTCAATCTCAGTGAGGTCTTCTATCTGGTGGGCAAGAAGTGCCTGGAGGTCTTCAGCCCCAGGCGCCGGCGGTCTCGGCGCCAGGGTCATCTACCTGATACGTGCCCACCATATGTCCTTTCCCAGAAAGGGAACCCCCAAGATGAGATCTCTGTCTTAACGAAGGCTGGGTCAGCCCCTATGGCTGTAGATGGGTACCCATAACCGGCAAGATTGGTGGATAGGATCACCAGGTCCCCCTACCTATTCCCTGAGACCACCTGGGAAAACAGGCAAGGGCAGTTGTGTCTTTTCTGCAGTAGGGCCACTGAGGAGGGTGGCTGTGGGGGCTCAGGACACACCCAGGGGCCAGTGCAGGGAGCAGTTTGGTCCCTGGGTCATGAGCCTCAGGGGAGGGAGGTTGATGGCTGGTGGGGATTTTGTATATGGCAATAGGGACATCAAAACCCTTAATAAATATGATTTTCCCAATACTTTGCAGACAGGTGGGGAGTGGTGGGAGGGAAAGCAGGGGGGTCAGATAAACCTCAAAGTCCATCCAGTGGGCACCCGAGCCCCAGATCCAGGCTTACCCATCACCCACATGCACACAGAGTGTGCCCCCCAGGGGGATGCCCAAAGGCAGAGGCTACTCCAGGGGTCTCTGGGTTCTGCAACCAGCTGGCCAAGGTAGGAGGAAAGGGACCCCAAGAGACCTTGTATCCAGCAGGAGTCGGTACTCAGTGAGTCTCCATCAGATGAATGCCTGTGGCCTCCCTAACCCTGCCCAGCACAGGTCCCAGCTAGTGGGAGGGGACGGTGCTGAGCGCCAGTTGGGGAGGGGGTCTGTCGTGTTGTGTAGGAGGCACATCTCCACAGGCCAGGGCCCATGGAGAGCATCGAAGCTAAACAGTCCCTCAGGATCCTCAAGTCTGTGGAATTTCCTGTTCTTTTCACCGACACACATTCCTGGAGAAGCCTGATCCTCCCCCACCCCTACCACCACGCAGACCTTGACAATTCCCAAAACCGCATTCCAGTCTGGACCTGCCTCTGAGTCCCAACAACTGCCCACTGGACAACTTTCCTAGAGCCCACAGGCACCTCACACTGAGCAATCCCAAACTGACCTCATCACCTTCCCCCAAACCTGCCCTCCTCACAGATCCTGCACCCCCACCTCATGAAGGACAGGCCGTCCACCCAGCTGTCCAAGCCAGGAGCCAGGCCTGTCACCTCAGCCCTCCCCTCCCTCAGCCCTCATCCCAACACAGCACCACATCCCACTGATTCCGAGCCCTAAATGCCTCCTGTATCTGTCCCCCTTCTCCCACCTCACAGCCTTACTTCCTCTTATTGGGCCGCTCCAATCTGCCCTCCACTATGGGGACAGAATAATTTATCCATGTACAAATCTGACTGTGCCATTTCCTCCTGCTTTAAAAATTCTTCCACCACCACCACCCCCACCCCCATTGCCCTCAGCATGGCACCCCCAACCTCCCAACCTCATCCCCTGCTCCCTCCATCCTTTTGTACACCAGCAACACCAAAGGGCCCGTGGCTCCCAGGCAGACATTCATGTGGGGCCATGCCTCGTGCCTTCGTCACGCTGTTTCCACTACCTGGAATGCCCTTCCCGCTTCCCCTGGGACCCTCCCTCGGACCTCAAGGACAGCCTTAACTGCCTGTCCAAGCGCCAGCCTCTGCCATTGCCCACAAATTGGCATGATCAGTCCCCCTGAGTGTCTCCCTATCAGTCTGGGAGCTCTTCCCAGGCAGGGCTGAGTCATCCAGGTCCCGGCTGCCTTCAATGCTTGCTAAGTGAGTAAATAGGCTGAGCCGCCTTGAGACGGGACTGTGTCTTGTTTACCTGAATCCTCTACCACACCTAGCCCAGGGAGTTCAGCCAAGTGTTTGTGTGTTCTGTTGCTGTTGTTCTTTTAACTAAAACCAGCCTAAAGTTCTCATTTATAGGTAAGCAAACTTGAGCCTAGAGAGGGGAGGGGACCCGCCAAGCACACACAGATCTGCTGAGTCTGTCCAGAGCTGTGTCCCCTGTGGTCCATGGGTAGCCTCCAAGCCCACTCTTGATTATGGGACAAGATCAGAGAGTCACCCATCTTAGGTCAGGTTCCCAGAAGCAGAGCCTGAGGCAGGGATTTGTGTGCATGTGAGAGACAAAGCAAGGGAAGCAGGATAGGAGGGGCTTTGGGTCATGTATCCCACCATAGAGTTGTCCCCCTGAAGGCAAGGGCACTGGACTTTTGAACTGTCACATCAGTCAGCCGTTGGCTTCAGGCCACCTCAGTGGCACAGGCTGGCAGAAGGGGCTAGGTGGCTCCGGCTCAATTCACACACTTTGACCTTTGGTCAAAGTCAGTCCTTCAGGGGCAGCTATAAGCCATGAACAACCGGTGTTCACAGCAGCTGCGAAATGGGTGTCCCGCAGTAAAAGGGTCATGGGCAGGGCACCAACACCATCTACTGAACTCCCTACTCCAGGCAACAAAGGCGGCTCCCACCCCATTCCAGGCCAGAGCTGTAACCACCCAACCCAGGAGAACAGGGTGGCACTCTCGGCCAGTTCAGAACCAGATGACCCCACACTGCTCAGACCAAGGCAGCTCCCAAGTCCAGGCCAGGGAACCAGCCATAGCCAGCTACCCCTGAGATGTCAGATCCCCACCCTAGCGGATGCTGCTGGGTCCAGCGGATGGTGAGCTCATTCCGGGACCCGACTGCTCCCATGGCGACCTCTCCTAGGTGCTGTTCCGGAGGTCTCAAGTCCTGAGCCAGGAGACAGGCAAGGGCCAAACACCATCTGACAGCTCGAGGCTTCTGGAGGGGGCTGGGACTAATCCTCCAAGGGCCCCCTCAGTCATTGGACAGCCTTACCCTCCGTCCTACCCGTGATCTCCCAAGCTCCCCATGCTGCTCTTGCCATCCCTCGGATCCATCCACCTTCACCTTCTCGAGAAGTCCCCGCGTTGCCCTGGCCCCTGCTGTCTTCTTCTTCCCTCTTTCCCACCCCCACTGCTGCCACCTGTTCCCCCTCACTCAGTAAAGACTGAGCCCATGAGGCAGGGTCTCCTCCTGGGGTTCTCCCAGGACCTGGGGCTGCCGGGACCACCCATGCATCACCTGTTTTTTTATTCCATGACCACCTCCTCTGTGGCATTGAGCAACCCACTCACAGGACCACATCCCAGACTTTGTCATCACTTAGAACTGCTCCACTTCTAGAACCTTCCATTCCTGCAAATGTTACCAGGCACAGGTCCGGCTGCCTGCCCCCTTTCAAAGTAAAACCACTCAAAACTCAACTGTCGGTGAAAATGGAAGTCGGCTTTTATTCAGGAACACCAGTGACCCAGGGAGAGGTGTTAGGCTAACCCAGCTCTCCCGTAAACCTGAAGGAGAACATCCAGGCTAAAGCCATCCCAAAGACTCAGGTTTACTGAGGGGTTGAGAGGGGGCTGAGGGAATGGAATGTGTGAAATGAAAAGCAGACGGGAGGGAGACATGAGTCGTGGGGGCTCCATGCAAGGAGCCAGGTGCAAGGTCTCGCCAAGCCTCCGTCTAGTTTCTGTTCTCATCCTTGTCTTAGGATCCTGCTGGGTAGTACATGCCTCCTTGCAAGTCTGCAGCTTTAGGCCGGCTGGAAAACAACTTTACATTTATGTAAATAATGTCATCTTGACCCATAACCAAGGTTCAAAATATCAAATAACCGTGGGAAGAGAGGGAACTCAGAGAAATGCATGCCAAGAATAAAAAACTGTGTCCTTTTAAAGTCTTTCAGAGCCCATGCAGTTTTAGGTCCCAACACGGCTTCAGTCTTCTTACTGCAACAGAAATATGTGTTATTTTGTATCCACTTTTATGGGAAAGTTCCAAGCTAGGTGCTGAGGATTCCTCTGGGAAGAATCCAACATGGTCCCTGACCTCATGGAGCTTCTATTCTAGAGAAAAGGACAGCTGCCCAACTCATGGCTTCCTGGGAAAGCACAGGGTGCCAGGGGCGAGAGAAAAGAGGACCTGACATCCAAGGCTTCCTGGAAAGCTCTCCCTGAGGCTTCTTGCGTTGACACCTAAAGAAAGGGGAGGTTTTGCCAAGCCAAGGGGGTGGGATTCCAGACAGAGGGGACAGCATAAGCCCAGGAAGCACAAACTTGATGACAAAGACTGGAAGAAACCCAGGAGGCTTGAGCCATGGCAGGAGCTGGTGGTAGAAGTCAGTCTGAAGGGGACAGCGGCTGGGTCATGCATGCTTTCTTTGTAAATCCCTATTAATGATTGTGGACTTTATCCTAAGGACAATGACAAGTCCCTGGAGCGATTTAGCACAGAAGTGACACAATCTAATTTGCAGTGTGTCTGGTTGCAATGTGTAGGGGCTGAGGCAGGGCTACCTGTTTGGAACTGATGCAATAGTCCTGCCAGCAACTATCGGCCTAAACTAGGGCGTGTGCAGTGCGGGTGGAAAGAAGTACCTGGATTTAAGTGTCTGCACGATAGAATCAAGAAGATGTGGAGATGTGATTGGGTATGGGGGTCAAGCAGAGGGAGGAATCAAAGTGACACCCGGGTTTCTGGGTCAGGATGGTGGTGCCATTTTCTGGAGGAGGAGCCCACAGCATGGATCGGGTTTGAGGGAGATGCATTGAGTTCAGACAGTGAGAAATGAGGTATCCTGGTTATTCACTGTCACCCATGGCTGATCTTAGCTCCTGGCTCGCTGTCTTTCTCTGGACCACTTACACTAGTTATTGCTTGCTGTTTTGTGGCTTCACATATAACACACTGGCCTCCCAGCTCCTTGACTTCCTTGTTCCTGACAATCCTTTCCTCTATCCATCCACCCCACCCACATGCGTGTTCGCACCCCAGACCTTGTCTGTACCAAGAGCTACATCATCTCCTGTCTGTGCAGCTCACTACCCTGGTTCCCGCTCCAGCAATCCTCCTGCCCTGGCTATTGACCACTACTTCACTGTCCCTCGCCTCCCTTCACCTCCGCCCTTCCCTCCTTTCCCAGCTTAGACTCCACTGGTCCCCAGATAGTCGCCGACGTGTAGGTGTCCCCCACTCCCTTGCCTTTCTGTGCCTCTCTAGTACTCACCTGGCAAGACCCGGACTCTGGCTAAACCCAACTGTCATGTGGCACCTGTTCTGAGCACCTGGAGAATAAAACAACCAGACTGACTGGACTCAGCTTAATCTTCTGACCACAAAGCTCAAGTGGACATTCTACACCTCTGAGAAATTCTACATTTTCCTAAAATGTTAACCCTATTCTCCAAGATGATCACATCATGCCTTCTTCTCTTTCCTCAAACCCCCAGTCCCCATTCTTGTCCTCCTCAGCTGGGAGCCAGGCAGCAGATGTCCCCGGGAATAGAAACACAGGCAGGTTCGTCTCCCCACCACCAGGTCTGTCAACCTCCCACACGAGTGCCCGGTCCGTGGCTGAGGCGTCCCAGTCCTG